AAAAAAAAACCAAACTGATTTTACATTTACGACGTATTGTTGATTTAATATGCTGAATCATTATTAATGGAATATAGGCCTACGTATTATATTTCTATAAACTAATCAACAATTATCTCATTAATCACACTATCGTAAATTGGCCTATTGAAGCATTATTGAAGTATTATTAATTATTAATTGTTCACTAAAGCATTATTCGAGCACCTTTATTATTATTATTATTATTATTATTATTATTATTATTTATTTTTTTTATATATTATTTATCAACCAGATTAACATTGAAAACATGAATATGCATGTGCATAAAATTATCGCAGAAAATAAACTTATAATTAATAAGATTATTTTTTAAAACAGAATCAAATAGCGTTTTTATTTAAAAGCAGGTTTTGCATGGACGGAATTTTATTTAATATGCTGATTATTACTATTTCATTAATCAAACTATCGTAAAATTATTATTATTATTATTCTTATTATTATTATTATTATTATTATTATTGTTGTTGTTGTTTGTTTATTTTTTGTTTTATGTATATGCCTAGGCCTATATAATACATATTGTATACATTTAATAATTTAATTAGAAATAATTGTTTAAACCAATTGTTAAACAAATATAATGTTAATAATAATATAGGCTAAGCTAGACCTAATCAATTATTGATATAATAAAGGCAAATATTTAGAACATCATTAATACAACACCTTCATGACAGTCCAGCCTCCAAATCTTGTTTTAATAAATAACTGAATTCACTTCAATGATATATTTTCATCTTCATTCATTATTATTATTATCATTTACTTTTTATTATTTATTATTATTATTATTATTATTATTATTATTATTATCTGTATTATCATTATCTGTATCTGTATTATTATTATTATTATTATTATTATTATTATTAATATTATTTGCCATTAATATTATTTGCCATTAACATTATTATTATTATTTGCCATTAACATTATCATTGTTTCTCTGGAAGGCATCTTGTACAGGGACATGATGTTTTTGCCTAACCAGTCTCATTACGTTTTGAGTGAAATAAAATTATGAATTATGAATTATACCAATGTCATCTATCGATAAAAACATCGATTCGATTAATTAACAGCAGCTTTTCGCACTTGTCTCTTAGCAGCTTTTCGCACTGTGGCAGTGCCGATAGAAAACAGCAACTCTTTGGCACTGCGGCAGTGCCGATAGAAAACGGCAGCTTTTTGGCACTGCGGCAGTGCCGATAGAAAACAGCAGCTTTTTTCGGCAGTGCCAAATCGGCACTGCGGCAGTGCCGATAGCCACTACCTCAATCCATATAATGCCATCAATGAATGCCCCCACCTGCTCTGTTCCTTGGCCATGTTTGTAAGAGCCTTGCATAGGTTTTCTTTGTGACTGCCTATTACACCACATATAATGGTAACAACGACATCGGTTTGAATGATCTTTAGGGACTCCTGTTCCACTGCATTAACAATGGCAGCAAGATGTGCTGATGGAACGATTTCTTGGTTGCTGCTACTTGCAGCCAAGTGGTTTAGGAATCTAAAAACAAAAAAAAATCTACATACATTAAGTGCACTTGTGAATGTTAAGCCTTTGAACCCTGAACGTCCTGGCATCACATGCCAGTGACCCTTGCTCCCTCCTGGGCATTTAAGGAAAGCAGAGAAAAACAAGAACATACACTTCAGAAGTTCAACAATAGTTTACACATGCAGGAAAAGCATTTATTTTAAAAATACAGTAACTACAATAAAATTAACAATGTATGTATTTTATAGACTTATTAATTAGTACTAATTATACCTATTTAAAACCTAGTTCGTGGCAAATCAGCAGCATATAAAAAATTCTTCTTGAATAAAACATAGTGTCATTATACTAGGTCAAAACACATTCATATACATTTCTATCATTGAATAAATGTCATTTGAATTTGAAATTTGAATTTGAATGTACGTATGCTGGACACGCAACTTCATATATGAATTATATCTACAGGAATATGTTGTAGTGCAGGCTTGAATATGTGAATGTGTATTTGGTTTGGAATGCAATATGGACAATTAAGTCATTAAATGTAATATACATATTTGTTACCTGTTAAGTGGAGGCAGTTTAGCTTTTGCTACAGATAAGGACTTGCTACTCTTCACCCTACCAGTGTTGCTATTCAACACCTCCATGTACCTATAACTACAAGAATGAATTACCATCAATAATTATCAATATATCAAAATTATAAAATTATAACTTTTATGAATGGGGCCTGATCATTGTAGATTTCGTTTTCTAAAATTACTGAGCGATAGGCTCAGACGGGTTTGACACTTGCCACGATTATTGGCAAGACGCAATACATTTTCCTCCGGACACCATTACCGAGTTTCAAGTCTATTGCAAAGACGGTCAAACGGCTACCATCCAATATTTGGTGCCAAATTAAGCGGATAACTATCAATAAAATACCATGTTAAAGTTTGTGTTAATCATATGAATTTCACGGGCAAACAGCCATTTCAAAGACATAATTATTTCTTATTCCATGAGACACCGTGCAATACATCTTGATAGCAAAACATAAACTGTGATGTCAGTAGAAAAGACGCTGTTTTGTCAATTCTTGTATATTATTCAAAAATTGTTGTTATAGGTTAGAATATCACAAAATTCAGTTGCATTGATTTTCACCTCTTTTAATTGCGTACTATTAAGGTACATTTATCACAAAACGTTCACGAAAATTGACAGGACACAGCATAATAAATGGGTTGTAAAAAAAAG